ACCAAACTACACAATCCTATACTTAGAATTTTCAGCACCTCATAAAACGCCTTAAAATGGTTTCTAGTTCGAACATAACTTTACCAACTTGACTCAGAGGCTTGAAAATATCCATTAAGACCAAAATCTGCCAAGCAAACCGATCAATTCAACCTAATAAAATTCAATAACCAACTTCTAATTGATTTTTGTTTGCCTGCAAATGTTATGAGGATGGACAGGAACAGAATTACTAATTTTTGCACTGCTCTATAACTTTCTGCACAAGTTAACTTTCAGCAATTGACTATGGGATCTAATATTCTATTCATGCATGTCAATACTCAAGCCAATCCAATATATATATGAAGCTTCAATGACTAAACTATCTTTTATTTATAAAATTGAATGGTTGAAATGTTGAAAATAATAAAACAACTAAACATATTCAATCAACTGGAAACTTGGCAAGTGTTGTCAACGTTGATGGAATAATTAACCCAACAGTTGACTAAATGAAATCTGAATTGTACAAAAAAGACAGTGGGGCATTAAAAATCATCAAATCTTACACCATTGATACATACAAAGGTACACACAAGAAAGGCCTGTGAATTTTGTTTCAAACTGGGTATCAACTGATGCCTAACAAAGTTTTAGTCTAGCAATAGGGGCAACCACATAAGAGTGGTGTGGTGAAATGTAATTGCATTTGGGGTACTGGATAGGCCAAATCAATGGTAGCACCATCGAAGCCAAATTACATGGCAAACCTACTGCTCCTATAAAAACTAATCGATGGGAATGAAAGATACTTCTCTTTAAATAACACAATAAAGTAGGTGTTTTTTTATCTTCCAAATGTAAAGCACCAAACAACAGATGATCAAAAACCCATATGAGCAATATAACAATTAATATCTTCAGAAAAGCAGAGATGGTGATGTTACTAATGGCTCCACGAAAACATTTAATTATACGACCTATCATTTTTGCATTAATAAGCCAAACATGCCATCTTGTTACTTTCCATTCAATAAATCATGCAAAGCCCTAGGGGTTTGACATCCTTAACTTTAACATTAAAACAAAAAAGTTTGAATAACATAGTAAACTGTAAAGCAATTTTCAAGGCAAGCATGATTTGATTATAAAAAAGGCAAACCACATTCTCAATTTCATTTTTTTCCATTATAGGTTTACAAAAATCTTTCTTCATTTCTCAATTCCCTTTCTTCTTTTTTTTTAAATTAATGAAGCATGCAATGGAAGGGAAGCGGACAAAGGAGGAGTGGAACCCTATCTCTATTTGAAAAAAAATAAATAAATAAATAAAAGGAAGGGGAGCAATTTGAAGGGATATGTGTCCCTTCCAAACCCTATTTTTCTTAAACCCTTCAAATTGGGAGGATTGAGAGGGCAAGAATTCCATAAAAAAAGCTTTATCATGGTAACAAAAATTAAAATTTCTTTTAACCTATAAATGGCTTAATTTTACAAAATAGAATGATTTTCCTTTTCCACTCTTTAACCAAGCAAAATTTGTAACATAGCCTTTCTTTCCTTTCCCTCTTTCTTTTTAAGCAATCCAAACAAGAAAAATTATTCATTTCATTTCCCTCTTCCCCTCTCCCTCCGTTTCCTTTCCTTTCCTTTCCTCCCCCTCCTAGATCCCAAACACTGTATTAGTAAATTCTGATAGTAAGGTGCCAACTCAAACACAGTATCTGCATACAAGCATTAGATTTTTTTTCTGTTCAACTTACAATTTGGGGGAAAGGTGGAACAGATCCAAGTTCTTTGATATAGAAGATACTTGTACTAACCATTGGACTAAACATCCATGTTATTAATGCAATTTAAGGTAAATACTATAGTATAGAACTTAAATTTCTAAACTGTCATTCACAGCTATCAAATAATGCCAAAAACTCCATATCAGCATCAAAAAGGTGCACCTAAAAGTCCCAGTTACTAAATTGCCTAAAGAAAAGGAAGACAATCAAAAACTTTCTACGCCAAATGCATTTTGCTAAAAGACCAGAACAAAATCAATGATAGATTCCAATTGATTATAGTTCTTGAACTTGAAAGCATGATATTGTAAAGATTTTAGTGCTAACCTGTTGAGGTTGCATAGGCCATGTCTGTGGTCCATAAGGAGAACCTGGAGGTGGCGGTCTAGCCTGAGGCACAGCTGAAAATGGTGATGCTGAAGGCACTGGTGAAGCTGATGTGGAACTAACAGCCGAACTTCCCAAAACCGAACGCATGGTTGGAGCCTGAGCAGGAGCCCTAGCTGACATCATAGTTGGTGGAGTTTGAAAAGGAGGTTGTGAAATACTTGCAGCAGGAGGAAAGCGGGGTGCACCAGTTAAAGCTCCTGAACTAATCGCAGGTGGCCCATTACTCAAAAGACCACCAGGCGCACTTGACGCGGGCACAGCTGGAACACCAGTCAAAGGTGAAGATGACACAAAAGGACTTGGGCGAGCACCTGTTGGTGGTGGTGCAACTCCAACACTAGGTATACCTGAAGATGGGAAAGTACTAGAAGGTAGAACAGCACCACCTGTTGAAGAAGACAAAGAAGCAGGAGGAGGCCTAGACCCAAAAGGAGACGGGTAACCAACAGGTGGACCAACGGGTCTCCCTGGGGATACACTTGCAGGTAACGTAGATTGTGGTGGCCCAGTAGGAGGCACTGCAGGTCTTCCCACCAAACCAGGCGACGGGCCAGGCCGTGACATTGGCGGTGAGGCAACAGGGAATCCAGCAGATACTGCAGATTGAGGGAAGGGTGGTTGTTGACCAAAAGGGGAAGGCCTAGGACCATAATTGGGCATTGAAAGTGGCCGATTTAGGTTCAAATTCTGCATATTATCGGCTAAGGAATTGGGATTGGTTTGATAATTAGGATTAAAATTAGGTGGTGTTGGTTGCCGTGCATTGGCGCCTGGCCTAGGTGCCCCTGGAGGCACAGGAGCTGCCATAACTTAATCAAAGCAAATTCTAATCCCTCTTTCAATATCCTTTTTGTCTATATACTTTACAACAACACGATCAAAATCTACACATACCCAAAAAATATTCTATTAAAAATTCTACAATAAAGACGATCGAAATTAACATTAAAAAGAAAACTAAAATCGAATGAAATAAAAATCAAAAGATAGAAGTAAAAAAAAAAAAAAAATTAAGTACCTGAGATCGGAAAGAAAAGCAAAGGTCGGATCTGTTAAGGAAATATGTAAGTTTCGATCTGAAGGATCGTGATCATGGAGTAGGGTTTTAGAAAGAGAGATCGGAAAAATTAGGGTTTTTTAAGGAAATAGGGTTCGATCGGACTTGGTATTTAGGAAAAGGATCGGAGAAGAAATGAATGAGAAAGCAGGGGCGGGTATTTTAACGTTGGAAATAACGAAACAAAAACTGTAAATCTGACAAGTGTAAAAATAAAAAAAACTAAAATAAAATTTATCGTATCTTATTGTCTTAAAAAATACTATGTTGGTTTGCGAATTTTGGATTCGGGACGAAGTGTGATTTTCAAAAAAGTGTAATATCTTAGTTATTTTTATTTTTAAAACATCCGTTGTTCAATTCATTTTTTACGTTGAAGTGAATTCATGCATATTAATTTTTGCATAATTATTATAATTTTTTTAATATATAATAATAATTTTTTATTTTTTTTATTAATAATAAATATTTAAACTATAAACAAAATTTTAGCAATAAAAATTATATATTTTATTTAATTTTTTTTATTTATAAAATATCATCAAGGCATTTGACATTTTTTTAAGTAACAAAAATTAATAAGAAAAATTGTTAGAAAAATATCAATTAAAAATATTCTTTTAATTTATTTATAAAAAATTATTTAAAATATTTTTGTATAAAAAAATTTTTTAAATAAATTTTAATTAAAAAATTTATTTAAAGAGTTTTTTTATATAAAAATATCTTAAATAATCTCTTTATAAATAATAAAAACGTCTTAAATAATTTTTTTATTTTTTTCATATTATGATCATTTAATAATTATTCTTTAATTTATAAAAAAATTATTTAAAAAGTTTCTATATATAATCATTTTATGCAAATATTAATATTAAACCTTAAACTTTAAGTTCTAAAACTTACAATTGAGTTTCAATTTCTTTCAGATATATTTTTTAAAAGAATAACGATTATTTCATCATTTTTTATTTAAATCAAATTTGAAAATAAGATAATTTTTCTCTAAAATCCTAAAATACTATAAAGAGAGGTAAAAATTTACAATTGAGTTCCAATCTCTTCCAAACATACTTTTTAAAAGAGTAACGGTTATTTCATTATTTTTTATTTGAATTAAATTTGAAAGTAAAATAATTTTTTCTTTAAATCCTAGAATATTATAGGGAAAGGTGACTATTTGATTTCGAAATTTTAAGTATTGTTTGAGAATCTAACATTTTTTTTATAATTAAATTACCTGAACCAAACGTAAAAATCAAATATCTACTGTCAAGTTTTTAAAAAAAAATTTGTGAATTCTCCTGAAATCATCGCTGAAAAGAAAGACAGAACATAAAAACACAAGTTAGGGAATGGAAATCTCCTCCATTGTCTCTTGCTCAAGAATGTAAAACAGGAAGGGGTGAATAAGGGAGTTACCAGCATGACCGTTCCCATTTTTATAGAAGGGACATGAAAATAAACCTGTTAAACAAGAACAAAAATTTGACAGCATGGAGGAACATGCAATGCAAGCACAGACAGAACAAAACTCTAACAAATGGTGATTACGATACCAACAACTGTAAACCTTTTAATTTCGTGGCAGCATAAATGAATGTACTTGTTAATCAAATGCATACACCTGCCTGAACTTTTTCATTTCCAGGTCACTATCTGAGGCAATGTCAATGTGGTTGTATTCATCAATAATCGTAAGTAACTACTTCATTACCAAATAATTTATATGTAGAACGAAAACGACTAAAATATGAAGCAACAGTACATTCTCAAACTGCACAGGAAACTTCACAGAGAAGACACTTTCAACAACCCAAGCTTACATTCCTTGAATACAAATGAAGTTTTTATATCAGTTACTATACGAAGCTACACAACCTCAAGCTATTGGTTCCAGGCACGAAAAGAGTTTAGCATGCAGGCCTATATATGCATATTACAAGAGTGTAAAAGAAAAAACAAAATGTGGATTTCATTGAGTAATATACAACAAACTATACTGTAAGGACACCCATGTGTTTGTCTGCTCACCAGCAACTGAAAGGTAAAAACTCCCAAGGAAAGTCATACCAGTTTCCAAACTGTCAGCACTTCCTGAAACATCTCTAACATCAGTTCCCTGTCTGCCTGCCTGAAAAAGTTATTGATTTCATCTCTAACATCATAAATCTTGCCAAATTCAAACAAGTACATCATGCACCCTTTCTTCAGCTTGTTCAATTGGTAAAGCCAAGCCTCCTGCAGCCTCTCAAGGACATTCTGCGAGTTGATGTCTTCTAAGAGGCTTTCCTCGCAAGCATCTTTTAGATCTACAATGTCATATTTATTTGCTGCTCCCAGTAATGCCAGTCGATGCTTCCAAAAGTCCTCTTGCTTTATAGTTCCATACAAGTAACTTAGAAGGGCCATGCAAGATTCCAGTGACATATCCTCTATATGGATTATGGATGATGCCTTTTCCATAAGGTCATGGTGGAACATACTTGCAAAAACGGGTGAACTTGCAGATAGAACTGCCTTGTGTGCTCTTAGAGTACCATCAGCAGTCTTGATAGTAACATCAGCATGAAGACCATCTTCAAGCATGCGAGCAAGGCAGCGCAGGGAGCTTTGAGTTGACACAGATTGCATTGCTCCATCAATGGGCCATATGGAAACAGAGTCACCACCCTGGGTTTTAACAAGAAAAAGGTAAAGAAAACAAGAAATCTATTGACATATAACAAGGGCACACTTTCAGGGAGATTGGCATATAACAAAAAAAAAATACTACATTACTTGAAGCATAGTTACTTGCTATTGCCTCGTCTTAGGTGGGGGACCTTCACAATGATAGAACTCAATAATGAGTTTACTAAAGGCTTCAATTAGTGTGGGATAGGCTAATTACCAGATTGCTATGAAATATGTTAATTGCCACCTGCTGGGGACAAGAATGAGTGAATCTAGTTTTGAGCATGTCTTACCATAATAGGGGCACTGAGATTATAAGTGAAGGCAAGGGCGGAGAAGGGGGAGGGTAGTCATCATAACACTGTAAATAACGGGGGAATTAATTAAGCCCTTATAAAAAAATAAAAAAAAGGTTCTCTATTGCATTGTTTAACTAAAAGGTGGACAAGAAGGGAGAAAAGGAAGGAAACAGACAAATAAACATTTGTCAAGAACAGTATTATTTTTTCCTTTTCTTTTTAATTTTTGGTCTAGATAGCTCCTCTTTGGAGGAGTGATGTGGCTCTTCACATACAGACTAAACAGGCCTTCCCAATAAGGGGAGAGGGAGGGAGAGGAAGAAATAGAACGCATTTACTGACAATGCCATCATACCACATTATAATTACAATCTAAAGGAACTCACATTTACAGGGCAGATCTTCAGGTCCAGGAACTCGACATCAATAATGAAGCGCCCATGGAATGTAGAATCAACAGGCCAACAAAAGTCATCACATGTTCGCAGCGGTCTATCATGAACTGCAGCACCAAATAAACAAATTAGTGTTGAGAGCATCTTCTCAGAGCTGCTTAACAGACCAAACATGCATAAAAGCATGTCAAGCAAGCAATTCAAGGTCCATTGTTGTTTTGTTGAAGAAAGCAACTAGGGAAGGCCATAGAAAAGTTCAAGAGATTGAAGGCACTAATATTACATTACTTGGGGCAACATAAATGATCTTGATTACTCCATTTCGAAGTAAGTTATACATGATTTCCTCTTTCTTGACAAAACATGATCACAACTAGATTTATGTCAGTATACGGACCTAATTTGAAATTTTTTCTTTTTCGTTGCACCAAATAATAATTGATAGATCCAAAATTTCCTTTCACCATTCTTGCACCAGCATGACAGAAAGTCAGCACCAACTTTCACTTATCAAGCGCTTCTTTTTTCCCTATTTTTCTTGTTCAAAAAGGTTAAAACACTTTGCAATCTAACATGAGTGTCTTTTTTTTTTCCATCTTCTCATTCTTCACCGCAAATAAACAATGCCCATAATCATGAATCACGATCCAATTTCGAATATCATTTCCATCCTAAAAATTCTACAACAAAGAACACCAACAGACAGAACACAAACGGACATTAATATCATATGTTTTAGATGATAAAACTCCAACTCCAACTCCAAATCCCCAACTTGCTTTTCACTTTCACATGATAAATTGCTTCCACCACCATAATCTAAATATAAGAGTTGGATTTTTTTCCAATTAGCTAAAGCTTTTGGATAATTGATCATTCAAATATTTCTCTAAAAGCCTGATCCTCTTTTCATTATTTCTTCACCTAGCGTCTTGTCCATTGGGCTTACGTGTAACACTCTTCACTCCATCTTTAGCTTCCACCTTCTAAAGTTGAATCCACATTTAAAAGCCATTAATCATTCATTCAGGCTTAGTTGTGAATTAGAGCTTTAAATGGTAAGTATAAAAGTTTGACCTTTCCTATCAATTTAAGCTTTTAGATAACTGGTTACCAATTGACTCACTTATAGATACAAACATTAAAGAGCATTGGAACAATAACAGAAAAAAAAACTCAAAACCTATAATTAGAACAACAACATAAACCAAATGAACAAAAGCAGGAGATGAAAAAATAGAGGGAGAGCAAGAGAGTATGGCATACCTGGGGAGATATAAAGTCTACGATTAGCACCAGCATTTGAGATCCGAAGTATAAATTTGGCATAAGGAGGCTGCTCCTTAGACACCCGAGATGGCTCAGGAAATAAACGAATGTACAAATATCGATTCTTCTCTATAGACAAGTGCCTGTTTCATAAAGTCCACCATCCCCAAGAATCATTCAAAGTTATGAAAGGAAGAAACAAAAACCATAAAAGAATAACAATTTACAACAAAGAAAAATCTGGGTGTTGGATAAAAATACCAGTTCCAAAGACCGACCTTGAAAGGGTCGGATTTTTTGTAAGAACAAGGACCAAAGTTGTCGATCCTCCATTGAGCTAATCTGGAGATCGTTTCTACCTTTGAATCACCCATTTTTTTTCTCTGGAAGGGGGTTTTCCTGTCTTTGTCTTTGTTTTTTTGGCTTCTATGCTTGAAGAGCTGAGGGATTTCCTTGCAGTTTGCTTTAGTAGTTGCGTAGCCTTAGAGGGAGAGAGACGTTCCTTTGACGCCCTTTCTGTTTGCAAAGTTGAATGCTTCATGTACCAAGAAACGAACGTTTTTTTTTTTTTTTTTTTTTTCTGTTACTCCCGTTAACAAGCAAAAAACATATCTTTTTTTTTTTTAAACAAAGCTCATCTTCTCATCTTGCTTCTTTAAAAATCAGTAAAAATTTTATTGCTTCATTTAAAAAGAATAACTACAACTTAAGTTAAATTTATAGTTAAAATTTAATAATTCTAAATTAATTTAAATTAAATTTTAATAAAATATAAATTAATTAAAAAATAAAAATGATTTTAACAAATATGTATCCTATATATAATTGAAAGTGTATTTATTATCTTTAAATGATGTATTTATCCTCTTATATCTGGTTTTCAAAAAAATCGCTTTTCTAATCATAATAGATTAAAATTTATCAAATACAAATTATTTTATCATTTATATATCCACATTTTTTGTGGTAAAATTTATATTTATTTTATTTTTACGAGGATTTAATGATTATAGAAATTTTTTTAAAATATATATAAAATATAAATAAATTAGTAATATTTGTTAAAATAAATAAAAACTTACAAATAATGCACAAACATTCAAATAAATACAATAAACAAATTAAAATAAATTTAAAAAATATCAATTTAAAATAAATACAAACTTATAAACAATACACATTAAAATCCTTACACCTCAAAACCTTAATAATTTTTTTAATATATAAATATATATAAGATACAAATATATATAGAGAAGAAACTATATTATCATACACAACAAATATTTAAAAATTATACTTTTAATATTTTTTAAGATTTAATATCAATATCCATCTTTATTCGAATAAAATTTAAATTTTTTTTATCAATTTTAAGTAATTTGATAGAGATCCCTTCTAATCATAAAAGCTTCAAATTTTGAAATTAAAAACTTCTAAACTTTAATAGTGTATCCTTTCGGAAACACTTTTAATGTTTTTAAAATGTTTCTCAATATATAATGAAATGATTGGCAAATAGTAACACAATAATAGCATAGACTTAGTTATGAGAATTTTTTTTTTTCTTTTCATAATTATTGCTCAATCTTGTCAATTTTTTCATACACAAAATATAATGAATATTGGGAAAGTTTGTACTTTGAAATTTAAAGCAAGGATTGCATCCTAATTTGGATCTATGATACATAAAGAAATAGTAAAACCTTTAATTGAAATAGGTTAGCATTTAGCAATATTTGGTTAAAGTGTATTTAAGATTCAAATGCTATAATGAAATGCAATGATTGAGTTTATTTTTTTATAAAAAAATTTCAAATGAATAGATTTTTAGGTCATGTGTTGGCGTGTAGTATAATAAATATGACAGAATGATATCATTTTTATATTATGTTTAGTTTATATCTAAAAAAAATGATAAAATTACAAAAAAAAAATTAATCATCTTTTTGATATAAGATGAATTCAATCATCTCAAAGTGAACAAAAATTATTTTTAATTAATGAGATTAAACTTGTATATCATATTATATTATTTAATATCATATTACTAATTTAAATTATATAATTAAAAAATAATTTTAATGAATAAATAAATTATTCGATCATAATCTTTACACACATCAAAATAATAAAATTATTTTATTTTATTTTATTTATAATATTATCTTATTATCATAATTTTATATATTAAGCACATCTTAATCTCCTAAATTAAAATAAAATATATTAAATTTCGTAGTAATTACTTATTTGAGATAAACATCAATAAAATTTTTAATCACTAATAAAATTCAAATGCAAAATCATTTATGAAGAGAGGAACCATTAACTAATAGATTGAACCAAAAATTTTGTTGGTATTTGAGATATATTTTCAATATGAAATTTTGCAACAAAACTGAAAGAAAGACTATAGTACATTATCAAAGGTCAACTGCATCAATGTATCAACAAATTATTTTATTATTACCTTGATGACAAAGATTACTTAACCCACAATTTGATAGTATTATTATTATTTTTTTTGGTGACATTTTCAATTTTCTAACTATTTGACATGAGAGCACCAACCGACATTTTATAAACAATCTAAAATTGATGTGACTAAAGCAATAGAAATTTATAATGCCACTTGTCAACATTTGGCAGTAACCCTACCTCTATCTAATGATTAAGTAACTTTAGCTAATGGTGTTTTTACATTAACAAATTTATTATTTAAAATGTGGAACATGAAATAATATAAAAAGATTAACTTTTTTTTTGTCTTTTATGTGTACTAAATCTCATTGAAAATTAATTTTAACCACAATTAAATATTTAATTTAATAATAAATATAGTGCTCATATTTTAATTAGAATTTAAATTTTAAATAAATAAAAAAATTCAATAAAAACACAACTTATATCAGAAAATCAATTATTATGAATAATATGAAAATGATTTAATAATAAGTATAATAGTCATATGCTTTAATTATTTTTAAGGAGATAAGCCATTTCGATGGTTAAATTTTAAGATTTTATAAAATCTTGAGTTAATAAATAAAATAAATTTGACAAGATTTGTGAAACGATAAAATATTATTTCATAGTCATCTAAACAAACATGGGCAAAAAAAAATGTTATTATGCCTTAAGGAATAACCTATTAGTTAATGTTAGAAGGTGGAAATGTTCTTTATTTTCCTATTTGGGCTCAAAAGCCCATAAAAATTGGAACTGGACTATTGGTGGCTTCATGGGCCAAATCCCATCCACTAAAACCACTGAGGGTATTATGGTAAATCAAGCTACCGGTCAAGTCATTCCCTTCCCCAATCCCCATCTTCCCATCCCCTTTAGAAATTGAAAAAAACCAGTAGGAAAAGAAAAATCCGCAATCCAATCCAAGAATTATCCCATCCCCTTTAGAAATTAAAAAAACCAGTAGGAAAAGAAAATTCCGCAATCCAATCCAAGAATTATCCTATCTCCGCAACCAAACAAATGAAAAAAGAAAAAGATGTCCACTTTCAGCGGCGATGAAACTGCTCCTTTCTTCGGCTTCCTCGGAGCCGCCGCTGCTCTCGTCTTCTCTTGTAATTCTCCATTTTATCTCCAATTTCTCTTCCAGTAGTAGTATATTGGAAGATTGTGATAAAATTTCATTTTTTTTCAATTAAAATTTTCAATGAATTTTTTAGTTTAATAAATGTTGAAATTAATAGGAATTATAAGAGACATTTTATTTGATGTAAGGCCAAAAATAGAATCAAAGGCTCAGTGAATTTTGTCAATAGTTAATTTGTAGTTTATTTTTGTAGGTATGGGGGCGGCGTATGGGACAGCGAAGAGCGGTGTGGGGGTAGCCTCAATGGGAGTGATGAGACCAGAGCTTGTGATGAAATCCATAGTTCCAGTGGTTATGGCTGGAGTTTTGGGTATTTATGGATTGATTATAGCTGTTATTATTAGTACTGGGATCAACCCAAAGGCAAAATCTTATTATTTGTTTGATGGGTATGCACACTTGTCGTCTGGCCTTGCTTGTGGCCTCGCCGGACTTTCTGCTGGAATGGCCATTGGAATTGTTGGCGATGCTGGAGTCAGGTAATCTTTTCTTCCTGGTGCTTGTTTTGGGAATTGAATTGGATGTAAAATGCTTTAGTCAATCCAAATGTGAGTTTTGATTTGTTTTACTTGTTTGTATTTGCTAATGTTTACATTCATTATGGAGATGTAGATTTTGAGTTTTGAATTGGTGAAACTACTTTTTATAGAAAATTGTTTTCTAAGCTATTGAAAGTGTAACTCTTACTTACTAATGAAGTGGGAAATGAACACTTTTTAAACTTGTTTTTGATGGGGGCTAACTTTGATATGTGGGTTCTTGCTGTCACCTTTAAAGTAGCATTCATCTGTAACCTTGGTGTACTTCTATGTTGTTTTGCTTTCTTTTTTGAACTTGAAGAAGGCAGTTTTCTTATTTGTTCGGTACTGTTTCTTTTAGCGGTTAAAACAGTTTGTTGGACTTGGAATAAGTAAAATGTTAAAAAATGGACTTTATTCTGATATTTTGAAGGGACAACAAAATGTCAATTACTTCATTGTGGACACTGGGACCTCATTGCTGATTTCCCTTTATCCCTGCTAGATGAAAGGAGGATTAGCTTGATTTCTGTTATGTGCTAAGTGATGTGGTGAATTCCTAGATTTGACAGATAATGTGCATGTTTGGTTCTTCTGTCTAGAATTTGAGTGTCAATGTCAAGTCTCGCTTGAAGAAAGTGTAAATGAGAAAGATATGCAGACCTTTACAATTAATAGTTCATTATCTAGATGGGAGCGATGGTACTTAGTATAATATTCCAATGGAAAATTTGCTTTTGAAAGGACCAGTTCCAATCTGCAGATAGATTTGTATTCTGGTTTGATTTCTGAATATTTGAATAGCACATCTGTCATTTTAGAAAGGCAAAGGTATTTGTTAATGCATCTTTTTCCTTTTATCTCACTGCTATTACCCCTGTAATTGGGCATTTTAGTCTTGAATTACATCCTGGCTTTCAGACAATGGAGCTCTTCGGATCATCTCTTTGCTCAAGTGCTTGTCCTAAACATTGACTTAGTCTTCTAATGGGCTTTTGGCTTGGTTTTGTGCTATTGGGTATCGTATTTGTTATGTACTGTATTTCTTAGTGTGGCCTTTAAGATGTCCGTGCTTTTTGTTTGAATTCAACCTTTTGTTGATTTGGGCCACTTTTTTGACTGATTTGATTGATTTGATTTTATTCTACTATATATATATTGATCTAGGTAGAATGCTACCATGTGCCAAACTACTTATATCTTACTTTGTATACACTGATATAAATTGAATGCCACCAAAGTGCTTATTGTTTCCTGTTTTACTCTTTGCTATTGCTTTTAGGGCTAATGCGCAACAACCTAAGCTCTTTGTGGGTATGATTCTTATCCTCATTTTTGCGGAAGCACTTGCTCTTTATGGACTCATTGTGGGGATCATCCTCTCATCTCGAGCTGGTCAATCTCGCGCAGAATAAAGAATGCCAAACTCCGAAGCTGTAATTTTTTAATGTTATTCTATATGGTTTAAAGTTGGAAATGTATTATAAGAAATTGACTGAAAATACATGAGATTTTTCACTCCGTTTTGTTCCATCCAGTTTGATAAACTCTCTTATATGTTGTGTCTGTGATCAAGATTATGAAACTGTACACTCTTTTCCAAAGGGCATCTTGCTCCGCTGGATTACTTGAATATATAAGGTTGAGATATATGATGTTCTTGCCTTGTTTACTTGGTCGTTAGCTCTTTGATCCTGATTCCTTGGAAACATTGCTCAATATGACCCGGTCTACTTATCAGTTAATGATAATCGATTCCAACATTAAAATGCTGACAATTGGAATTTTAATTATTCTTTGACTAATAAGATAACATTAATTATATTACTAGAGTTAGGATTTTTTTTCATTTATCTGGCCTGCATGCAGGCTTCTAGATTGTCAGGAAATGACATTACCATTACCCTTTAGTCTTGATGTTGGCTTTGTTTTTATTTTTGTTTCTTTGGGACAAACCAATGAGGTGAACAGAGCTCCAACTACCTCTCTGACTTCTGTAACGTTTTGTCTGGTGCCTACGCGTATAATAAGACCAAACGAGCCAGATCTTTTACTTGGCCAATGCTTCTGAAGAGAGCATTGCTTAAAAGATCAGAAGACCAGAGGACAACGAATCAAAATATACAGAGAGAGAGAGTAAGATGGCAACGAGCAGTGCAACAGGAAGCTCGCCGGAGGCACCAAAGATAGTGTGGAACGAGAGCCAAAGGAGGTTCGAGACAGAAGACAAGAAAGCCTACATAGAATACGTGTTAAGACAAGATGGCAAAGTGATGGACATCGTCCACACTTTTGTCCCGTCTTCGAAGCGAGGCAGGGGCTTGGCTTCTCATCTCTGTGCTGCCGCCTTCAATCATGCCAAGTCCCACTCTTTCTCCATTATCCCCTCTTGCTCTTATGTCTCCGTTAGTCCTTTCTCTCTCTCATTTTGCTTTTTGTTTAATTTTTGAATTTGGTTTCTGGGTTTCAACATCCTTGTTTTGGTTCTCAAAATCTGATGAAGTATTGTTTTAAGGCTTGTGAATGACTTTAGGACGTGGCTTTTATATGACTTAGGAACCCATTGCTGATAGTGCTTGCTACTGTATATATCCAGATCTAGGCTGGGTGAATGATAATCCTCTCAAGGCCCAACTATTAAAGGAATAGTTTCCTCATCTTATTGCATACCAATTCAGTGATACAAAACATTCATCTTTCCCACTCTTTTATTTTGCACCCAAATGCTTTCTTCCACATATTATTAAATTTTTTCCGTAGGCTTTAAACACCATTATCTATCTACCTGACCTATTCTGATCACTTTTGCCATAGCATTTATGTACCTATGCTTGTCTTTCACATCAATACTTATTTGAAGTTAGGATCTGGGTGAGCAGGTTGTCAATAACAAAAACTTCTGTGTGTTATCATGACCCTCTTTCATACTTCAAAACGATATGATTTATTTTGATGATGGTATCCGAGGTTTGACTAAAAAATCAAGGTTGGTCTACTTAGAAAAGTGGTATGGTTCATGACAGAGTTAGATTTAACTTCAGTTGCACTGCTGGAGTTTCAGATTAGCTTATGAAAGGGAGTTTTGTCATGTAGGCATATGAATATTCCTTTCTTCACAAGGAAATATGAGAAAAATCAGTGTGAAGTTGGTAATTTTGCTGTCCCAGGGTGATCAGGCAATTGGATATGCTTGGCATCTTGATCAGATTCTTTCACTGAATGTCACTGCAATAATTTGTGACCGTTATACAGAGGGACTATAGTCCTTTGAATTGTTTCATTCCTACAGAAATAAATTTTAGAATAAGGAATAAGGAATTGCATGCACTGATGTTCGAATTCCAGATTTGCTGAAAGTCATCTCATAAAGATTATTAGATAAATAAACTAAGTTATACTCCGGATTCACAAATCTTTATCATACTTTGGATCATATGTTTGTTTTGCTTTTTTTTTTTTTTTTCAGGACACTTTCCTTTCTCGAAGCCCATCTTGGAATCCTGTATTGTACTCGGAGGGACCTAAAATCTAATATCTCAATAGCTTCAGTTGTTCGTTTTCGTTGTTTGGAGATAGATATGCCTTTAAATGGAGCGACGACTCGCCTTCAATTGTTGCAGATACCCTACTTTCAGCCAAATAATAATATGTTGTGCTTATTTGCACATAATATCTTTGAACAATTTATATTCTTGCAATATATTTTGCATGTATGATTGGTGATACCATACAAGTAGGGGTAACTCTAGTATTCTCCCGTCCCCTTCTTCCAAACATTTAGCTGGTTTTCAGCATTAAACAAAGAAATGAAGACTGCAACATGAAATATCTGAATCTGAATCTATCTTACAATAACAAACACAACATTGGTGTATAAATTATAAACCATAGCATTCCAACAACGTCGTACCGGTCTATTTGCAATCACTGCGAATCATATTTCAGTAACTTACATGGCATAACAAGGATAAATGCCAGAAACAAACAAGGGGCACCCAGATCCCTGTGTTACGAATCTATGGTCCATGGCATGAATTCAAAACAAATTATAATCCCATTAAAAAGATGCATTTATTAAAAAAAAGGAATACAATCAATGCCAACTGCTTGCTTGGAGAATTGGTGGGATATTTACAGAAATGAAATTCTTGATTGCTGGAAGTCTCAGCCGGGAACATAATAATCCATCTTTTCCACTGGCAGATTTAAAACAGATGTTTCCACCTAAACAGCGGAAGACAAAGGCCAAATGGTTAATTGTGAAAAATACAAATATGGTGGCATCACGGGCTGCCAGCTAATGCATACACACTCTCTCTTCTCAAACCTTAACACCCACTTCCCATTAATGAAATTAGATGGCAAGAACAGGGTCCAGCCACTAACTGTTGACTATTTGCAAAGTTAATGAGAATTTAACAATTTTCAGATTCTGAAGAATTTTTCACCAGTGATCTATTGGTTCATTATTCAAAAGATCAAAGGGTAGAAACAAAGTTACCTCTTCAAATGGGACAAAGACAAATGGTGTTAGACCCCTTTTGTGGGACACTGCAGGCACATCTGGGTTGTGAGTTTCATCCTCCTGCCACCTTTCGACAACTCCAAGGATGTCCTCTTCAGGACCACTGGCTTCATTATCATCGACACCACTTGTAACAAGGGAAAGTAAATCCATTCGGTTGTTAGCCCCTGCTTTTGTCCCTCGTAATCTGTGTAAGTATATAGGTAAGAGAAGTGGACAAGACTGCTAATGGAGGAGATTTTTACAGAGGGAAGGATATTGAGGAGGGGAGGGGGTTTGTAAAAAAAAATGCTCCATCAAGTAATTATCCATTAACTATGGGGTAATCCCTAATTTAAAGCCAGCATCATCTAAACTGTCAGATATCTGAACTCACTTTTATGGTATTTTGCTGGTTCACAATCCAGCATTAGCCATGTTTTGATTAAACCAGACTGACTAATAAAAAATAAATGCAAACAAAATGCAATATGTGCCATCAGACCCCTTAGCCAAAAGCAGATACTTAAATACATTGGAAAATTTTGTACTTATACCAGGATAATGGTTTTAACTACATAGAAAAATTTAACTAGGAAGTCTCACCCTCAGCTCATAAATGAATGGACAAAGAAACAAACAATAAAAATCCATGTTTCTTGTATTACCTTAAAACGGATTCTCAGCACAGTAGGATGCATGCCAGGGTACAAGACAGCAGCTTCAACCTGCAGAATAGAATGATCATAAATACCTTTGAGATGCATATCAATCTACTGATACTAGGATGAAAGCAGGCAATGAATTGAAAAGTTAATTTAATGCACATTCAATGGAACATAAGCACATCAACCCCACCAATATATGAAATTCCAAAAATTATTTCGAAAAAGAGAGCCTGACCTTGTCATCTGACAAAGTGTAATGGCCACCAAAAACACAGTCTGCTTTAGATGCACGGATATTCATGCATTTTACCGCATCCTTTATTTTTTGAGAAGAATTCTAATCATAAACAAATATAGATATCATTATCAATTAGATTTAGAAACATAGTATCATGTCCACAAGTGAACTATGTTATCTGTAAAATACAACCTTGTATAGAAATCTGCCAGAAGGGAAAAATCTCATGCACCGGAAGTAGCAGACCTGCCGGCGTATTGAAAAAAGATAGAAAGAAATCAGAACAAATTCAGAATAAAGGGAGAAAATGAAAATGCTGAGGGATGAAGATACAGATTGGCTGCATACTATGTGAACTGGATTTGTAATCTTCCACTCTGGACCTCCAGCACGAATATAAGTATTCCTACTCACATAAAGACCTGCAATGTGAAAAGCAATGCTAGTTTCATGAAGCAATCATTAGGAATCCCAAAGATTTAAAATAAAGAAAGCACTGGTAAGTACAGAAGAAAACCAGGCTTGCTTCATGTCATTCCATATGCACCACAAACATAACATAAAAACTTGAAATTGGCAGTTTTTTTTTCGTGTACAGCAGATTCAACATATTTCAGGCTGAACTCAGTATGATGTTTATAACATTAAAATATAGCAGCTTAGCTGACATTTCCAATGTCAGACGTATCCTTATGACAGCATACAACAACAAAAAAATGTCAGGCGTATCCAATGTCTGTGTAGGATGTCCAGAGTAACCATACAACAAAAACTGCCTATAAAATCCTTGTGAAAGAAAACTATGCTCTGATACAGGTGCTCAAGTTGCTGTCTTACTTGTAAAACTTCGTTAAAGCTCTCAAACACATAGACTCTCTTCCCCCACATCTGTACAGGTGTTGGACTGTTAGGAAGGGGAGGGGGAGGAGGAGGGCGAGGGCGAGTGAGGAAGAGAGAGAACCATGCCTAATTCTGTTTGAGTTCCTTAGAGATCCCAGACATAGTTCCCAAACCTAGTTCCCAAACCAACGAATCAGTTTAATTATTGAGGAAATGATGAAAACTGAAGTAGAATATAATCACAGAAATGCTCCTACGAAAGAAATGGCAACATAGCTGCAATCAGCAAGACCAAGCATAGCACAGAGCAGTGAGTTTAAACATAAATAAATGCAGAGAAGATACCCCCTCTCCCAACAAATATATTACACCCAAAATAGAAAACAAGCAAGAGAGAGAG